GAAAAAGTAAGGGGTCAAAGGGGTTTTTTAAGGGAAAAGAGAAGTTTATTTAGGGACAAAGAAAAAACGAAAGAGAAAGTTTATTTAGGGACGAAAGGAGTAATATACTTTTTCCAATTGTATTGAATTTATACTATAATTTATTGAATTATTTATATTCCTGACCGACTGACCCCAATTGTATTGATTTTATATTACTACCTCTGTCCCACTCTCTTTGTCCACTTTTGACTTTTGGAACGTAACTGTTCATCTAAGCACTTTGACTTATCAAATTCTCTCAATGTGTAAGCCTAAATATAGTCATGTGTGATCTTGTTTGATCTGTCTTAACATATAGATTATTAATAATAATTTCTATAATTTTTTAATATACAAATTACAAGATAAAATAGATTAAAGAAGTGCATTGGATGGTGTGCCAAAAGGTAAGTGGACAAAGAGAGTGGGACGGAAGGAGTATAATTTAATATACTTTTCTTATAATTTTTTGTAAAAGTGTTTCACTGTTTGACAAAAAAAAGTCAAAGCGAGAAGAATTTTTAAAACCTGATAAGGTAGAATTTAAAAAAAAGACTTTATTTGCTTTTGTTTTAGCATCGGCAAAATATTGGATGGTGCCACACAACAAACATTTTCCAAGTATGAAAACGGCAAGTGTGAAATAGAATTGCACTTAAAAATAATAATGTTCCAAATATGGACCCATGTTACGCAAAACACTCTTTATATACTTTGCAGTTTTCGCTTACAATTTTGCCTGCGTTAGTAATTAATTAATCCGTAAATGGCACGTCTTTTTTTCTTTCTTTTTACAATTGGTTGCCTTGATCACATCTCTTCATTCTTTTGTTAGTGAAATGCAACAACTTTTATTAACTCCACGCTATTAGAATAATGCTTTTTTAATGATATTTGTCAAAATATTGGAATAATAATATTGCTCATTAAATTCTGGATATTGGCTCTATTACAAAGTAATATCTGTTCATACTATTCTCAATCTAATGATGCACAAATAGTCAATGCTTTCGCTTCTGTTGAAGCTCAAATCTGAGTGAACTTTCTCATGAATCCTAGAAAGTGGGCTTGCTACCACTCAAGTCAGACGAGAAATTCCACACTATTATAATGTATTATCTCTTTATATATATATATATACATATATATATATATACATATATATCTATATATATATATGTGTGTGTGTGTGTATATATATATACACAATAATACAAAAAGTTAATGCATATACTAGGTTTCAAACTTTTCATCTCAATTTGGAAGATTCACAATCATGTCGTTCGACAACAATTTTTTTGACAATAGAGCTTATTGTGATATATATGTCTAGTTAACAAAAAATATATTAAAAATCTACTTAAATATAAATAAAATATTAAATTTATACCAAAATTAGATATTCTATGTTTTTATTTACTAAATAGGAACGTGGTTCATACTATGAAATGATACAACTTAAAATTGTATGTTCGCATTTCGCTGCGTTTTTACATTATATTTTGATAGTCTCTTTGACATTAATTATAAGTCATATTTTAGTATAAAAATAGTAAATTTTAGATTTTGGTACAAAGAACATATAGTCCTAGTTATGTTATTATAAATCTTTTGAATCAAGAGAAGTTCTATGATCATTGGATCCAAGGTTTGCATGCACCTTCTCAATCTCAAGTTCTCATTATAATGTTTTAATTATTTTTTTATTTAATAAATGTTTTTTTAATCTAAACCTCAAAAACGATTCCTCAATAAATGTTAATCATACTCCCTTCCTCCCTTAAACTTTTTCTCCTTTTTTTTCTTTTTTCCAAAAAACCACATTCGCCATTACTAGCCAATTCTTACCATATTCATCATCATATTAAGGGTATTTTTGGAAAATCAACTCAAAAATATCTCTCTTAAATTCTCTAAAACTCAATAAGAGAAAAGCTCTAAGAGTTTGAAATTGAACGAGAAGTAGAAATTATATGGAATTGAGTTTTCTAATTCCGATTCATTTTTTGGCACTACCAATTCTAAATTCACATACTTTTGTGCTGCCAAACGGTAAAATTAGAATTATTATCCATAATTTCAATTTCACGTACCAAAGGAACCTAAGGGGCAGAGGTAGTATTAGCTAGTAGAAACTCTGGACTGGTGATCAAATGTTTATTTGACATATATAACGGCCCATGAGTGACATTAATTTAAGTCAGAATTTGCCTTGAACCAAATATAAACAAAATAAAATGTTGTACAAAGTGTTGTTTAATAATCACTCCCTACAGTAAAATTTATGATGTTTGACTGATATAATTTTTGAATTTTTTATATAAAAGAAACTATCCCAAATTAAAATAAAGTATGAAACATTTACATATATAGGGAACTTTTTTAAATTTACACAATAATGACTTATTTGATGCTACTCCGTATTAATTAGTATAATGCATCCCAGACTTTCAGTTTCATTTTTACCCTTTTTGTCCTTCAAAATCTTTGAACCAGTGCCTTTACAATTAGAAAGTACGGAGTAATATACAATTAGTTTCCGCCTTCCCAACAGGAAAATTCAGTTTCAGTGTATACCATCTTCACAATTGGCTAGTTCTCAGTGCATATTGCCTTGTGATGGCAGTAATTTGATTTTCAGTAATGGGCAGTATAATCTTTTTAGTCACATTATAAAGAAATTATCCCAAATAGGAGTCAAACATACTCCGTAGCATTTATCTTAAAAATAGAAGTTCCATGATTTTATGTTTAAAAAAGAGTTTGTATTGTAACATTACGACAGTATATACTGGCATCCTGCACTGTATTTTTGGTAATATATATTGATATTATTGATATTATACTTTAATTTTGGGGATAAAACATGAAGTTCCTATATAGAAATTTTCTTCATGTTTTACTCCTAATTTAATTTTTTAACAACATTATAGTCTCATGTTCAAATGAAATGTATAACTGATTTATTAATTTAAAATTTCAGTGGTAAGGGTCTGATTCGGTATTTTCAGTTCTTATTTTTTTGAAATCCGACCCGTCCAGCCTGTAGTATTTTGAAAATGGTTGGTTTGACTCGTGATATAATTTACTACAACCTTTTAAAAACCGCTTTACAGTTTGATACAATATAATGTCAATCCGATTCAAAACAACCCCGCATATCCCTACCTTTCACTCCGCTCTCCATCCTTCCACGAGTATGTATACCAGGCATACGAATGTATGGTGTTTTTCGGATTGGAAAAAGAGTAAAATAGGAGTAACACATTGAAAATATACAAAAATAGGAGTTTTATGTTTTTATTTCAGAAATAAGAGTTAAAATACATATACAATGTCAATCATGACCACATAATTACCAAAAAGTATTGTAAATGTTCATATAGAGTGCCACGTTATCATAGTGCAAACTCTTAAAAAAATAGAGCTTATATTTTGATATTTTCTCTATAGTTTACTCTTATTTAGGGTGGTTTATATATATTCCCTTATATCTATTATCTTCATGAATACTTATTTTCGAGCATAACTGAATTTTAAAAAATAAGTTGTTCGTCATCATTAAATAGATACCACTCTTACTATTACGGTTTCAAACTAAATTTTCATTGATAATTTGATAAAATAACATATATATACCCGATCACGGGTTTAGATATCTGGCCCACCCGTAAAATAACGGGCTTGAGCTTGACATTTTAGGGTACGGGCCAGGCTTGGACCTTATAAATGGCGGCCTGAATATTTAGGGTCAGGCTCGAGTTTTATGCTCAAGCCCACGGCCCGCTCTGGCTCGAAGAAACTAAAATATTTATTATTAGTTTAATTATAATAAATAACAATAACAACATTAATAATAATAATAATAATAATAAATACTATTTCAAATTATTATAAACACATGTACATACTTCTATGGAGAAAAAAGTAAATTATAAATATATTTTATAAAATGTATACATCTTTATTACTACGTATTGTTTACAATGTATCACACATTGATAATTGTTTTCAAATAAATAATATTACGTACTCCGTACGTAGTAGCAATATCAAACAAAACACATTAGTTATTCTTCCATTACTCATTATAGCTATGATGTCAAACATATATCTAATATATTAACCCATTAGTTTATTTTAAAAAATCATTTTTTAAATATTTAAAAGTTTTTGTCGTGCATATCGGGTCGGCCCGAAGCTTGCGGGGATCCATGCAGGTCGGGCTCGGGCTTCAATTGTTAGGCCCATTATACGGACCGGGTCGGGCTTAGAAAATTCAGGTAATGTAATGTCTCGGCCCGACCCGGCCCGCACTTTTATGAGGTCTACTTGTTGTTTTATAAAAATTTTATATACTTTTGAACGGTGTAATTCTTTTTTTATACCAATTTGTAATTAAAGTAATTTTAAAAGTGATGAGATATTGATTATTGTTTAGGGTGCGACAAGTGTGACATCCATGACCGAGGGAGTGTTTAAAACTCGAAAATAGATACGAAGTATTTTAGTAGTCATAAATTTTGCAGGTCGATATGCGATAATATGATACTTCATTCGGTTCTAAAAAAATTCTTGTTTTAAATTTTTTGGTCAAACAATAACACTATTTGACCAAAAATTGTAAGAAAAATATATTGAATTATAATACGGAGTATAAATTTAATATGATTGGGCTCATTTAATAATATAGTTTTGATATATTAAAATTTTAGAATATTTATTTATTTAGATTATGTTTAATTTGTGATTAATAAATACTAGTATTATTCTTTAACTAAATATTAAAATAAAAAGAGTTTTTAGGAGCAAAGGCCGAAGGGGGTCTCGGACACTAAGGCTTTGTTTGGTAACAGCGTTTTCAATTAGCGTTAGCGTTTTAGATAGAATTTTAATGGTGGAGATTAATTCTGAAAACTCTAACGCTAAAGGCTATCGTCGGATAGCTTTTTTAAAAACGCTAACGGTAATCTCTGACGCTGATGCCAAACGGGGTCTAAATTAGATTAGACTACAATAATTGTGGCACTCCATCAAAAAAAAATATCAGCCTTCAATTGAAAAGAGAGGAAGCAATTGGATGGGTTCAATAGATTTCATACTTTTCATAATTGCGGGACAAGTAAACACTTTGCGCTCCTCCTTCTTCCCTTCTTTCTCGGGTTTTTACTGCAATTGGATGGGTTGAATAGATTTCATACTTTTCTCGGCTTTCCCTTGATGGAATCGATCTCCTCGAAAGTCAAAAGGGTATCTTATTTTTATCTTCACCAAGGTTCCCATTATCTTTGATTTCTAGCTAATTACAGTAATATGCTAATTTAGGTTTGTAGTATTAGATTTATAATTTATTGCGAAGTTTTTTCCATCTGTTACTGTTTTACACCTTCGCCTGTCTTGATTTTCCGCCACTCTTTCCTGGTTTTACTGAATCTAGAGCTTTAGAGGTCGATGGAGTATCGTTATTGTTATTATTACTAATATTATTATTTGTTTTTTTTGGGTTTATATGTGTGTGTGTGTGTGTGTGTTTATATATGTTTATATATATATGTGTGTGAGTGTGTGTTTGTGTGTGTGTGTATACAACTGGTTCCGTTGACACTGGATTTCAGTGTCAACGGATGACACTTGCCCATTTTGGCACTTCCGGTGCCCCGTTTGCAAAATTGATGGTTCTCCGGTTCCCCGTTTGCAAACGGAGCACCGGAAGTGCCCCAAAATGACAGTGCCACCCGAGTGTCACCATACTCCGGATATAAACTTTTCTTTGGCGATTTATGGTTCTAATAATACAAGAATACCCAATAAAGTGGAGTAGTAATTGCTATTGAATCATGTCTTTCATGATTTTCTTTTTTTTTTTGGTTGAATTCCTTCGTGGATTCCATTGCTCTATGTTTGGTTCAAGGAATTTGGAAGGAAAAGAAAAGAGAATAGTTCTCTCGTTCCGCACCAAAATGGGGGGAATTTTGTTTTCCATCCTTAGTACATTTTGTCTTCTCGTTTTTTACCTCCCAATTTTCTTTTCTTTTCATCTACAACCAAACAAGAAAAATAGTTTTTCGTCTCATTTTATTTTCTTTTCCCTTTCAAATTCCATGAACCAAATGTTGTGTTAGTGAATCGGTATATGCTTCAAGATTTTATCTACACACATTTGCCACTTGCCAACTTGCAGGAAGCTAAGAGTATATAGAGTTATTCATTTGTAAGCAATTTCCGACCTTTGTTTTGTGTATGTTTATGCCAGTGATGATAGTGAGATAGGGAATAAGATGTTTTATTCGAGTTTAATTTGATACGTCGATAAAAACCAGCTAATTTTATCCTGCAAATGACTCTCCCCTTGGAACAAATATTGGGGGTACATTGGGGGTTAACAACCTCTTAATTAATTAGTGAGCATAAACACCCTGGTAGTGAACATAATATGTTATTTAGTGAGCATATGGCTACAACTTTGACCCAACGAAATCTGCATTTGTCTATGAAAGTTCAGTTTTAACCATAGTCCCGACATGTGTTGATTTATGCTTAAATAACATGATCTTTAATCCACGGTTACACTTATTGGGAGCCACATTGGTAAAGTACGTGATTTTGATTTGTGACTCTAAGGTCAGACTTTCCTGCTTATGGGTTCACCGGCAACCACCAAATTTTGACATCTGCTCATTTGTGTTGTCAGGTTAATGAATCATGAGGCTTTACCAACAGATATATATTTGTAGTGTACTCAGTGACTGGTTCTTGTTCAGTTCGACCGCCCATTAAGTCGAATGGATAGGTCAGACAGATCAGGCTTTGTGAGTGGGGGAGGTAGCTCATTGGGATTCATCTTGCTTGCTTACTTTATTCTGCTTTACGGATCGTTCTGCTAGATTTCGTTACTGAATGGTCATGTGGGGTTGTAATGGTAATAATAATAATAACAATATGTTTCATATTTCAAGCGGTGAGCTGGTAAGGTCTCGTCCTCTTGGCGATACAACCTTGCGATTGGATTGCTTTGGATATGGAGAAAGTGAGAGCTCCTCCATGGCTGCCCAGTGCAGAACCAACAGAAATGTACTTGTGAATAATGAAGAAGATGATGATGATGGTTGCAGGTTGGTGCTTGGTCTTGGCCCAACCCCTAGTTTTCCCTCCGGCGATAATTATTCTTATTGTTCTGATGGGGGTAAAAAAGACACTGGCTTTACTGCTCTTTTAAACCAGAAAGATCCATCAGGACATGATTCAGTCCTCAGTCTTGGTTTCTCTGGGAGCATTGATCAAGTTGTGGACGATGGAGGTTCAACATCGGCCAAGAAATCAGGCGGATTCATGCCATCGCTCATTCTAGCACCGAGAATGGAAGACTCTGATTACTCGAGGAGCACGGTGACATCATCAGACCGTAATTCCAAGAAATGTGCGTTTGAGGGCTGTACGAAAGGCGCCCGAGGAGCTACCCGTCTTTGCATCGGGCACGGGGGCGGGCAGAGGTGTCAGAAACCGGGGTGCAGCAAAGGTGCCGAGAGCAGGACGGCGTACTGTAAATCCCACGGTGGAGGAAGGAGGTGTGACTACCTCGGATGCACCAAAAGTGCCGATGGGAAGACCGACTACTGCATCACCCACGGCGGAGGGAGGCGGTGCGGGCACGCCGGAGGCTGCCCGAAAGCGGCGCGGGGCAAGTCGGGACTCTGTATTAGACACGGCGGGGGTAAGAGGTGTAAGGTGGGAGGGTGTGCCCGCAGCGCGGAAGGTCAGGTGGGGCTCTGCATCTCTCACGGCGGCGGCCGCCGTTGCCAATATGCCGGCGGCTGCGGCAAGGGCGCCCAGGGCTCCACCTCCTTCTGCAAGGCCCACGGCGGGGGGAGACGGTGCGCGTCTCCCGGGTGCACCAAGGGCGCCGAGGGGACCACGCCTTACTGCAAGGCGCACGGCGGGGGGAAGCGGTGCCTCTTCGGCGGCGGCGGGACGTGCCCGAAGAGCGTGCACGGGGGGACGAGCTTCTGCGTGGCCCACGGCGGCGGGAAGCGGTGCGTGGTCCCGGGGTGCACGAAGAGCGCCCGGGGGCGGACGGAGTGTTGCGTGAGGCACGGCGGGGGGAAGCGGTGCGGGGCGGAGAGGTGCGGGAAGAGCGCCCAGGGGAGCACCGGCCTGTGCAAGGCTCACGGGGGTGGGAAGCGGTGCGGTTGGGAGGGGGAGGGGGAGAAATGCGAGAAGTTTGCAAGGGGGAGAGGGGGGCTCTGCGCTTCACACGGCAGTTTGGTCTATGGGAGGGGGAGAAGCGGAGATGGCGGGGGAACCTCAGACTCCGACATATTTCCTCCCTTCTCCTCCTCCGGGTCAGGGAAGCCACCGGAGAAGAGCTTTGAATTCGCTATTCCGGAGGGGAGAGTCCACGGCGGCGGCCTTATGTCGTTGTTTGGAGGGAACCTGAAGAACACCGTTGTTTATAAAGAATAATTTAAAATAATGATTTTTTTAGAAACTGTGTTCGATCACAGTAAAAATGTAGAGGATGCAATAAATCCAAACGCGGGTAACGCTGTTGCCCGAACTAGGGGAAAACAAAAGTGAAACAATAGATTGTACTGAAGAAAAATGGCGTGTTTATTGCAGAATGAAATTACTTTTTTGCATCAGTGGTGAAATTGTAATTTGTAATTATCAATATCAATAATAAGCACTGTTTTTGTGTTTTTTTGGTGCCATAATTACAGGAATTACACTAGCTTCATGCTAGGAATAAACCAAAATAATACTCCCTCCGTCCATAAATAAACTTCTCGTTCACTATTTACATGGTTAAACTTTATTCACTTTGTTGGCCTATTTTCGTCACTCATTTGATAAAATAATATAGTCATGTCCCTTCTAATTTTGTAGATCTTTTGATATAGTTTTTTAATATGTAATTTTTATTTTTAAATATTGCACCATTTTTTATATAAAATGACTTGAAAGTAACTTCAGTCAAACATCATAACGCGCAGCGGGAAGTCTATTTATGGACGGAGGGAGTATAGAAAAATTTGCTCTAAATAGAACTAAAACATAAGTCATTTTTTAACCGCACTTGCACTTTTTTATTTTCTAAATAGGACTTTCATTTGTATTATGATTCACAAGGACGAGATGTCTCTGTTTGCTTGGGGTACACCATTTTAAGGGAAAAAGTTTGGAAAATTCATCACACTACCATAAGGCCGTGGCATGTGCAAAAAGGGAAGGTGACGGGAAGCTGAGGTGGCATGCAGGAAGGGAAGGAGAACACAGCCCCCCTTGCGGGAATGGGAAGAGCAAGAGCTCCTCCCTGTTTTCCCGTTCGATTTTTTTGATTTTTGAATTTTTTTAGATTTTTAGTTTTTTATTTCTTTTTTTATTTTGAGTTTTGTAAGATTGTAATATTTAAATTTATTTTATATATTTAGCTTAATTATTTAAATTAAATTGAGTATTAAAAAATAATATTAAAAATTAAAAAGTAAATTTTTATTATTTTATGTTTTTTGTTTAATTATTTAAATTAAAATAAGTGTTAAAAAATAATTGAAAAGTAGATTTTTATTGTTTTTGAGTTTTTAGTTTAATTATATAAATTAAAATACTAAATAAAACTAAAAAGTGAAGGACTGAAGGGGAAAAGGGGAAGACATTTTCCTATGAAAAATTATATATAATTGGGGATCATTTATAAAATTTACTCATAAATGTGTTGAAGCTATAAAATAGACATGAATCTGAGATCTCAAAAGAATTTGTCTTTTTTAATCACCCAAACATTTCAAAAAACTGTTTCTGGGTACCCCATATTTTTAGGAATTAATTGCCGGGTACCTCACATTTTTAAAATATATTTCGAGGTATCCTCTATTTTAAAAAACTAACTACCGGGTACCTCAAATTTTTAAAATATACTCCGGAATACCTCCAAATATACATTAACTTATCCGTGAAGGACATTCCGTCTCACTCTCCGTCAAAGACAGTTACACCATAATTTTAAGAAATAAAGGTTTGGAATTCTAAAAATAATCTTGATTTTTATACTTTAAGGATACGATGACCCTCACAAGTAAGTAAATACAGAGTACTCCCTCCATTTCATATTAACTGTCCATTATAACTTTCTTAGTACATTAAGAAATGAATTAATGTAGACATAAAGTATATCTATATTCATTCATTTCTCAATGTACCAAGAAAGTCATAATGGACAATTAATATGGAATGGAAGGAGTATATATTTAGTATACACTTTTCTAAAAAGAAAAAGGACAAATGACTTATCCCGAACACTTCGTCGGGTGAAGTGTCAGCCATGTAGGATCATTATTTGAACCGTAAAGTCAACATTGACTATGGTATTTTGCATGCAAATATGCAGCGTTTTCTCTCTGTTTCGGTTTCAGAGGTTTCCCGGCGAGGGAAATCCGTCTATAAATATCGCCGGTATTCACCTTTTCCCAGATAGGCGATTCAGATTGAAGCTTTTACAGCTGCTCTAGACTTCCCGTCCTTGTTCAAACCCTAAAAGGCAGTCGTTTTCGCAGTATCATCTCCAATCTTTCTTGCACGCCTTCATATCTTCATCTTCAAGATCTTCTAAACTTTTGCTCGTTTGATTCTCTGTTTACAGATTCTCGTTTCTGCAGATTCGAACTCCGCAATCGGTAATACCGCTCCGACTTCAATTCTTCTAATCCTTTCTTTCTTAAATAGATGATGTTTTTTTAATTCAAATTCTGAATCCCGCGCATTCATACAATTCTGTGAATTTTAATTTGTTTGAGTTCTAGAGGTTATTATCATGCATATAGATTCTGCCGTCTTCATGTGTTTTAGTTCAGAGTCTGGAAATTTTAGGTTAAAATTGAGAAGGTGCGCTGAAAGGGGGAGAATTGCGATTCAGAACTGTTATAGTTTTTGTAATTCATCTTTTTACTATCATGTAGATGTAATTGCAGAAGAGAATTCATGGAAAACCTCTACGGCGGGCGTAATGAACCGAAAACTCCGACAATCAAGTATCTCGACGGCAAGGTGTTGCCGGTCGGTATCGGCCGCGGTCGATTTGAAGCTCCGATACCGCTGAGTCCAGTTTTCGATCCCTACATCTCGTCTGGGAGCTCTAATTCTCCGAGTTCGTTGTCTCCGTTTTTTCGCCGATCCGGATCGGGCGTGCCGTTTGACCTAAGCGATGGCGGCGGCGGTAGAGGACTAGGGTTTCGTTCGCCTCTGGCTTCGATCGAGAACCTGGTGCCGCAACCGTCGCGGTCTCCGATTGCGTCGTTGCTAAAGACTCCGGTGAAAGTCGAGGAGGACGTGATTGTCATGGACGGCATTCTCGTTAAGCAGAAAGGCAGTAGTACCAGATCGAGAGGGACGTCATCAGATTCAGGCGATAAGAATAGCTTCTACAAGAGGGACAAGTGCTTGTTCTGGGAGGAGTCTGGTTCTTGCCGCTTAGGTTCAAAGTGCCAGGTTCATCTCTTAATCAATGCCAATATAATCTCAAGCATTTTTGTCATATTTGCACAATTCCATCAAATTTGCAGTGATATTATGTTCTGCTTTCTCTCGAATCTTTGCATTTATCAGTCAACTTGAACCCTGCTGATCTTGAATTTATGTGAAAATGTTGACACAGTTTGCACATGGACAGGAAGAATTGCGTCCGGCTCGTTACGCCACCAAGGTATGAAAAATATTGAATCCGATTGATTTTTGCAACTAATCAGAATCAGCAAGGGGTTTTATCTGTACAAAAACAATGACAGATCTGCAAGTCATTCAATCTGGGGTCATGTTCTTATGGCACGAAGTGCAGATTTGTTCATCAGCAAGAGCCAATGGAGGCCAATTCAGCAGTTCTATCCCCAGCTGCTGGAGCTAAAGTGGGCTTCCCTGTCACACATACTGAATCCCAACAGCCTGCAGCTAGTGGAGGGAGTAACATCACCCCTACAAGTGCTTCTGGAGGGAATTATAGCACCTCTACAAGGGCTTCTTCTTCTAGTGCTGGACAAACTTCTGGAGGGAATTATAGCACCCCTACAAGGGCTTCTTCTTCTACTGCTGGACAAACTTCTGGAGGGAATTATAGCACCCCTATAAGGGTTTCTTCCCATACTGCTGCACAAGCTTCTGGAGGGAATAACAGAACCTCTACAAGGGCTTCTTCTTCTACTGCTGGACAAGCTTCTGGAGGGAATAATAGCACCTCTACAAGGGCTTCTTCTTCTACAGCTGCACAAGCTTCTGGAGGGAACAATAGCACTTCTACAAGGGCTTCTTCTTCTGGTACACATACCAAATCCCAACAACCAGCTTCTGGAGGGAATGAATTCACCTCTACAAGTGCTTCTTCTTCTGCTGCACAAGCTTCTGTAAACACTGGCTGGTCTCCACTGGATGATGGTGTCCAGATCACCTTGCCTGAAAAAACTCCAATCGGGGAAGATGTTGATGCTTATATTCAGCGTGTTCTCTATGGCCCTTCTTGTAGAAAGAGATTGCCTGCTTTCGTTGAGATTTGCCCGGAGTAAAGTGATCTGCCCTCCTCATGTCCTACCGGTAATTCCATATCAGTCTTTCCAATTAACCACAACAAACAACCAACACATACGATTCTTTGCTATCAATCCGAAAGCACATTATATCATAAGCTGGGGACACCAAAGAAGGTGAACACTACTACTACTACTACGTATTTTTTGGTCATATTACATGTGCATATCTGTCTGTATGAGGTTTCAATTAGTTTGATATACAACCAGAAGATAATAAAGTCCATCTGCATAAATAAATGGACATATAATGGAACTTCGATATGCTGCTCCTTATTGCACTTGGAATGGTAGTGATTCTTGCTTGTTTGAAGATACTATTCTTTTTTGTACTATAATCTCGACAACTCAAAAGAAACACATACATTTCGCATCGGTGATTGAATTTTCAGAAAATTGTTAGAATGATTTGTCTGGTTGAACTCTTTTGAGCGAAGGCCTTATCTTTAAGGGTGTTTGTATTATATTGCTTAACTAAGACAGCAAACTGAGTCATTGCCAACTGGTTAAAAGTGAGCAGAAATCCCCAAGCTTGAACAATGACATAAAGATGAACTGGGGATTGGTGGAAACTGGCATGAAAACCAACTCCATCTCATTGTTCAAGACTCACTCTTTCTGCTAACTTATCACTTCTTTGCCAGTTACCCAAAGCTACAGAGTTATGCAGTCCCCCCATGGGATGCAATGATCAAAATCATCAAATCCCACTAGGGGTTAATTCTCTTTGGCTCTACTTGGTCTATGTTTTGATAAATACTTGATATTTTTCAACAACAAAAAAATGAAATATTAACATATAATGTTTTAGTGTAGCAGTTTAATTGCCGTTTATTCGTCTTTAAAAACAATCTATTCATCAGGATATGGACTAATTGTTCCAAAACCCTCTTATAATCCACATGCAAAGAGACCACCTCTGGCACCCCACTGGAGGGGCAAATGGGCAATGGCCTTACATGTTTTGCCTTGGAGTCTTCTTTGAAGTGCCTATATAGTGAGAGGTTCAAAAGATTCATAGGTTCTCTAATATGTCTGGAGAATCGATTCCTAATTCATATTGTTCAATCACCTGAAGTACCAAGTGCACTATTAGACCATACCTTTACTCTTTCAAATTCTGGGCCATCAAATTCTTGCCACATATGAGATAATTAGTTCATATGGGACACCGTAGCGGCCTCAATTAGGGCCAATGTCACCCCGTGGAAACGTTGCGTAAGCGCATATATAGTTCAAACTTTAATATTTATATTACACATTGAATATAATATTTGTTGTGGTTAAATATGTTTTTGATCTCTATAAAATTAGCAAGTTTCATTTTTTGTTCCTCTAAAAAATTTTCAATTAATTTATCCCTATATAGAGCCTTTTGTTTCAAGTGATCTTTCCACCGATTTAGAAATGATGTTTGTAAAATTGGTGAATTTTGATTTTAGTCCTTTTTTTATTTGGAAAATTTTATTTTTGGTCTCTAAGACATGGTTAAGATCAACTCTAGATTGGTGAAGGGCAACTTGAAAAAAAAAAGTATTTGCAGGGTTGAATTAATTAAAAAAAACTAAAGGAAAACACTAATTATACAAGGACCAAAACCATATTTAATTATGTTTGTTGTATGAATACTTTGTACAAATTAACTCTATTTGTAATATGAATTGTTAATGGTAGAATAAAAGATATCTCAAAATTCTAATTGAACAAATTAACTTCTCGCTTTACAATTTCATCCTTTTAATTTTACAATGTCAAAGAACCAATTCAACTAAACATTAATGAACTAGGCGACGATAAGTTTTGAATACGTGACTTCTTACTGAGCAAGGCTTTAATATAATATCAAAGAATTAATTTAACTAAAAACTCAAACATATAGTTGTAGATCTAGGAAAGACTACATATACTTTTCACAAGCGCAACAAAAAATTTAAAAAGACATCAAACAAACCTTAATTTGTTTAATTTATACTTCCTTCGTCTCAATTTAAATTGGTTATTTATTATTCACATGATCAAACTTTAATCATGTTCTTGATCCATTTTTGTGACTCATTTAAAAAAATAATATAATAATGTCATCTCATGTTTTATTGAATTTTGGATGTAGTTTTTAAATATGCAATTTTTCTTTTTAATTCTTTATCAATTTTTAAATAAATTTTTAATTGAATTGAGGAAGTACTATTTTACTTTATTTCTTTCTCTTACATATAATCACTATTTTTTAATATAACTTATAATTATAACAGAAAATTAGATTAAAAAAAAGCCTACCGAGGGGTGGTCTAGAGTAAAACCTTTATTAAACCAAAAACCACATGTCTGAGTTTCTATTTGAGTTGGATCATTAAAATATATGGACTTCGAAACAATTATTGATCCCTCACTCAAGATATTAGCATTAAACATCTTACATTTAAGAAAAGTAATATTATTAGAGCATTAAACCAATATTGAAGAAACTGGCTGATGACTCAACCTATGGGCTCTCTTTTGGGTGATAGTGGGTAGAAAAGCTCTTTAAAAGAGGTATATTGTCAAGTGAGGTCGATCAACACAAATCTTGCACCCTTTTTTTATTCAAAACTTTCAACGTTAAAATCATACACTATATTCAAGTGAGTTTGATCCTCAAATATCTTGCACAATTGGTTTATTTGCACAGAAGAGTGAATTCAAATGGTGCCAACCAAATTTCCAAGCTGCTTCGCCGTTGTCTGGTAAATGGACTTGTGTTAGACCTAGCTTCCGAAGCTGCCCTCCGAGAGCCCCCGATGAACTTCTACAGTTTTATCTTGGTAGTTAATTAGGGCATGATGGATCTAACAACAACAAACAAATCCAGTAAAATCTCTAGGGTCTGGGGAGAGTGTGTGTGTGTGTACCGCAGACCTTACCCCTACTCGGAGGTAGGGAGATCGTTTCCAAGAAAACAAATGTGATTCTAATGTGAGGAGAAAACCGACCTTTTGTCTATTCTGATGCTACAAAACTCCTTCACTCAACAGAGAGAGCTGATCCACAGCCAAAAAGTAACTTCCTACTAGCAGAAATGATGCAAAACCGCTGCGTGCCATTCGCAATGAAATTCCCCTGTACAATAGACTTCGATCTGATGGATGGATTCCAGTCCATCTCTCAAATCGTTTCCCGGGAAGTTCCCATTTGAGAAACTTCCTCTCCTTTGATAAATACTGCAATAAAAAACCATCCAAAAAAAGGAGCTTATGCAGTTCAGTGCCTCATAGCCCCTGGCAACTGGGTAACACGCCAAATCAGCTTAGTGATAAGTATAATCAGCACAAAGGGGGCATGATTAGTGCCCCCTCCATCTCCAAATCAATTTGACACTTTTACTTCATGGAGTTTACTAAAAGGGTCCGTTTGGTACACAGAATTGATGGAATTGGAATTGATTTGGAATTAAAATTCCATGGGATTCAATTCCAATTCATTTTTTGCACTACCAATTCCAAATCTACATAATTTTTGTGCTACCAAACATGAGAATTGGAATTGAAGTCCTCAATTCCAATTCCATAGTTTGAATTCTGTGTACCAAACGGGGCCAAAGTGTTATTGTCTGTCTCAAATTAAAAAAATAAATAAATATCACAGCCCATTTTATCCCATCATGTCAGCCAAACAAACCACCAAACACACCAAACAAGATCCTAATTTATTTGCCTCATACAGATATAGGACAAGAAGTATAAAGGCAATACATAGATCAATCACTATATATGTTTTTCTTTTGAAAGAAAAACAAGGTATCCTTACTGAACATGAAAAATGTAAACAAACACAAGTTCGCAACTGGTGACTGCTCTGCCATATAAATCCGATGAACATGGGAAATGACCAGAAATATGCAGACAAAATTCAAACTAGTTCTCGTTCTGTGTGTGGACCCATAATTAATATTCACATGACAATATATGCACATTGCACACGAAAGAAGAAACTCGTCAACTATTTTGGTCAAGAAAACACACCTTAGGCACCACAATGCATTGCGAACGACTCTTTGCAGTATCAAATGAATGGGAGGCAGCAGCAGCAAGTGATCCGGAAAATCCAGCTGCAAGACTAACTGAGAAAGGAGATAATGGGCCAACGTCTTCATCATACCTGGAAATAACTAGTAATTTACCGCCAAAACAAAAAAATAAGGAAATAATACATTCTCCTGTGTGGCTCTTTTCGTGGAGCATTTTAATTCAAGAAATTGATATGTTTATTTACCAATTGAAGCTTTATCAACATTAAAATAAGAAAGATCCTCTATATCAGACAAGAGAAGAACTTTCAGAATATTGGCTGTATAAAAAAAAAGTAAAACCTGGGTATGGGAGTCATCCCAACAGCTTTCCAAGTAAGCATTGCTTCATGTAGGAGTTGCCATATTGAAAAGAAAATGCCACTGAAAATAGAATCTCGAACAATTCCTGACCTCATCCCTTTCCACAAAGTACCCCATCCTTCAAGGGAGATTACCTCTGATGGTCGTCTAACGTGATAAACAGATGGAGGTCTCCCACACCCAGTCATCATCCATGGATATTGTCTCATGTCATTAACTAAATTGGGATGATTGTTACTCAAAATAGCCAGAAGACGAGCAGAATTGTTCAAAACCTTTGTATTTGGCGAATATCCATGCAGTAATCTCTCTATTAAAGGAGAAACCTGGTTAATTTTCATGTTTGATTCTGTTTGTGGAATTTGGAATGCAGAAGTGACCTGAGCACGAAGCTTGATAAGCTCAAAGGGGGAAGTTATGAGTGACTCTGCCACCCCAGAAACCATTCCTGCCATTAAAGCCTCCGAGACAGACAAATAATTGTTTTTTCGACCATCTGATTAAGAATTATGTTGAGGGAACACAAGTAGATATGGTCAATATACAAAAACTAACCAAATGTGTTATCATTTAAATATTAAACACAACAATGCATTTGATATGCATGGATATTAATGCATGAACTCGGCATTTCAGCCACTTGAAAGATGTCCAGTTTGCAGTTCCATTTTCAAAGTAAATTAAACACTTGAAAAGATTAGCTAAACACAGACAATGCAATGGAATGTCAAAAGAACCGAACTCTTTTATACTCCCTCCATCTCAACTTTGCCACTGATAAAATCTCGTGACTCTGAGAACTAGACAGATATCATAATCATACACAGGAAGAAAAACATGCTACCTTTGTAGAATGAGGTCAGCAGTTCATAAATGCCAAAACGAGTCCCAAGACCAAATGTTCTTCCCACTGCCAACCACCCTAGACCACTGTACAAACCTAGAATGTTTCCCAAACACAAACAGCATTACCCAGAGATTTGAGACAAACAAAAAGGAGACATACTTGTTTCAGAGAAATTAGAATCACAACCATTTGGAGGCGGACGGAGTTACCTGAAATGCCTGATAATGTTTTAACCCTGTAAAGAACCTGAGCAGTTGTCAATTTCTTACTGGGATCTGAACCTACCTGTATATTATTCCAAGGAACCAACACATCAACACTTTCAACAACAAGACACACACACACACACACACACACAAAGTAGCATTCCCTATATATAGAAATCATTCTGTAGAAACAAACCTGCACAAGAACTTTAAGAGTGTCGAGAGGGCAAGTAAGGGCACTACTGAAAGCAGTGGCCCATGCTCCAGCAACCAAATGGATTCCGAAAGTCTGGTCTTTGAGCATCTCATTCATCCTAAAAGGTAAAAAACGCTCCATTAAATGGGTCTATATGTGCGATACGGTAAACAGGAATTTGATATTGGGAGATAACTGTCAGGAAATATTTTTACGGGGGCACTTCGATCACAATGTACATAACACAAGTAAATTTAAGTGACAAAAATTTAAGTGACACAAGTAACAAAACAAACAAATATGCCCTTTACCTTTTACATTGTATTCTAGCCAATTTTTATATTTGTCAAACCAATCATCACAAAAATGTCTTGGCCTATTCGCTATTATTTATGTGGAAAATCATGGCCTCTTGATTGACATGGTCCTCTAATCAAATATATTCATCTTATTTAATCTCTTTGATTAGGTGATAATCGGTAATTCTTTTTCTATCTGAAGGATCCCATGGTAGATCACTTAAATCAATTTCAAAAGGCATTGAAGGTGCAGATGGTCCAACATCGGGTGTTGACTGTTGAAGGAACTTTCGTTTAAAAAAATTCTCAATTTTGTTTAAAAATATAAATACGAAAACTATTCTAGTAAAGTTATAACCAAAAATTGAGAACAAATATTATGGAATACAAAAAAAACTATTATCTCAATTATCAATTAACTCAATTATCTAACAAAAACTAGTAAATTCTTAACCAAAAATAAGAGAGACAAAATTAATATTTCAATTATCTCAATAATAATCTATTACAATCAATTTAATAAAAAATTTTATTTCATACAAAATACAAACAAAATAGGCTAAATAGAGAAAATTAAATCAAAACATACAAAGTAAAATATTGAAATAAATCCAGCATTAACCTAAACACCTAACTTCCTTAAATCCAAAAGGCAAACAAACTGATTTGTTAAGAAAACTTGAAAATTGAAAAAAAAAAACCTGAAAGCTGGAGGTTGAAGATGAATCAGATGAATAAATGATGATGGTCACGGGTCACCGTCAAGCAAATCGGCACTCGGCTTCTCCGCTAGACTACTGAAGCAGTGAAGCCGCAGAGCTCAGAAGGCAAAGTCTCAAAATGCAGATTTAGAATTCTTTTTTTACTCCGTAATTCCTTGTGAATTGAGTAGGAATAGGAGTGGGGTGAAAACCCCAAAATTAGCACTGACCCGATCTATTCTCCTTCCTTGCGCAGCACTCTTGAACCATAAACCCTACGGCGAAGGCTAATGGGAGACTGTGGCGGCGGAGGAATGACAGTTGCAATGGCCGGAGAGAGACTGATCCGAACAAGAAATGTCACCGCTTTTGCATATGCTCCGGTGGAATTCTCCCCCAACTCCCTCCCCAAAATATTACTCCGTAATTGAAAAGAGAACTGAAAAATTTAAATTGATATTCCACTTTAAAAATAAATAAAAATACTACAAATCCATTCGAGTTTCACATGCATACACACAAAATAATTATTTTTATATTATAGATAATAAAAATCATTATTTGTCTTTAAATTATTTAGTGTGGATTTCTAATACGTCTTTTTAAAATACTTTGTACTCTATAAATGTTTTTTATACTATAACCTTCTCCAATAATGTTGTGATTCTTAAATTTTGCAACACTTTTTTTCAGGTTTTTAAATGTGCTTATGTACTCTTTTTTCTAGTTGAAGACAAACTATAAATGGAATTGAAAAAAATGAATACATTGCAATTCGAATTTGAATTTAGAGTAATACATTAGAGAGAAGTACTAGTTACTACATTTCGTTTTGATCTTTTACTGCATTATAAGTTCACTTAGGTTCTTATGACATTGTCCGGCAATGTCATGAGAATCTTGCCGAATATGAAGACGATTTCCAAGACAGATGACTCTGAAGCACTTTGATACCTCATTCGTAATTTTGATTTTAGAGTCAAATTTTGACTCAAAAGTCTAAATTAACTTGTGGGGTGCAATTGAAAGGGTAAGGGAGCGTGTTTGGGTCAGGGCGAGGTTTACCGGAAATTAGGGAGTGTTGGAACCGTCAAATTTACGAACGGGACACCGGAGGACCCATGAGTTATCCAATGTCATGGGAACCCCACCGACTAAATATATATTCATTGTTTGATTCACATTGTTTTTATATTTATTAAGTATTTATACTATACAATTATTTGAATTTATAAATTGACGATAAATAAAATTATATTCCACTAGCTAACATAAACATTGTTATGGAGTATTAAACATGCATTGACTCTATACCATTATTTTAATTTCTAAAAAATGTTATTAAATATTTACATTATATTAGAAAAAAATAAATTTATTACTAGAAAAAAGTTAAATTAAATTATACTCCGTATATATTAAAAATTGATTGTTTAAGTTTGAATCCATCGTATTTTTAAAAAATCGAATCTATCATGTTAAAAGTAATTAATTGTTTAAAATTAACACACATGTGGCAACTAAGAATTCGTCCATTGATTCCTATATTCCTTTTTCTCTGCGGAGAACTTCATATCTGTCTCGTTCTTGGATTCTGTATCGTACTTCTCCTCTCCTTCCATTACGACAATCTCTTATGGAGAACTCTTTCTCCTCCGTTTGAGTACTCCGTCCAATGCAGGTGCTCTAATACACAAAATGATTATATATATTGGGTATTGTAAAATAGATCATAAGTCCATAAAAATATGTGCGAATGTTCACTTGTATGCTCCAATGTTTAACTCATTATGCAACAATTAGCTCTGAAGTCGTATTCGAATGGGATTCTATTTGATAAAAATCCTAATTATGTTTCGAGTTACTTATATTATTGGTGAGTACTACTTGATCACATGATCATATACAGAAGTTGTAAGAATGTGAAATTTGATTATTGATGGGTATATCCTTATACCCGACCCGAATAACCGAAAGGGATAGGTCAAAATATGACCGGTCACTTTTATCAAGTCACCAAATGATGTTAGCTCTTCGATTGGGACGGGTCAAAAATTGACCGGTCACTTCCACTAAAAAAGTGACCGGTCACATTTTGGGCGTTAGCCAGTTCGCCACTTAATGTTGCGAAGGATATTCCAGAAGACCAAAGAGATGGGTTGAACTCAAGAAATGACCGGGTAACCTTTGAGGAAAGGTGACCGGTCAGGTTGCGCTACTTGAGAAGGGCAATCAACATCAGAGGCTAGAGGACACCCCGCCGCTCATCCATCATGAGGCAAACAGTGAAGGGAATGATTGGCGTTTTGCAGGATTGATTGGATTGAGAATATCCATGTTATAATCTTTGATTGAACAATGCATGTCTTGGCTTGTAGTTGCTAGATTCATTGATTGAATAGTAAATAGATTATGTACAGTGACCTTCCTCCGGGTTTCCCATTTTGTCTATGGATGAACAGGGGAAGGTCACAAATCCTCCTCTATAAATATGATGATATTGGATAGAGGAGGGGATCCATTCTTTCTCTCACTAAAAACTAGTACACTCTTGAGACAGAGTAAGAAATATATTTCGGACTGAGGAGATTTACCCGGTCTAGGTCATACTTTGTGTTCTCGTTGTGTGTTTTATATTACGGGTCAAATGTCCAAGTTAAAGTCGGTTAACCCGCCCAGCTATATTTACACCATCAATTATCAACAAAAAAATTCAATACTTATTATATTAGGAGACAATTGAGCGTGAAGCCACACTCGTATGAGGTTTGATCAAGTAGAAATTTCAATTTTTAGTCAAGTAACTCATAAAGTAATTACTACTACGTATCAATAAACTCGGTCGGGTAGGAAGCGATTATTAAAAATGTAAGATTGAAAGAAATAGCTAATTCGAAAAGTACCATATTATGTTTAACTTTAAACCAAGTAAATTTCACTTTCCAATTTTATTTTTAAATTTTATAAAATCAAAGTCTGTATATATACATTTGAAATTAAAGAAACCTTTATTAGCTCATCGAAGACAAATAGGGACTAGGAAAATATGGAAGAACAACATCTCATATAAATATCGAATAAAAGTGTATATCTAATTTAAAATTGAATGACATTCAAAGTACGGAGTATGAAGTTATACTTATATGGTACATTATGCTTATACTCCGTATAAAAGTATTTTCAAAATTTATGCGTCAACAATAAACACATTAATTAAAATGAATTTTTGAGAAAAAAAAAAAAGATTTGAAATACCCCGGAGTAATAAAAGAATTGCACTAAAAGAATCCATACATACTGACCCAATGCCCTTAAAGTATAGGGTTCTACGAGTATCTTCTATATATTCGCCCCAGGCCTAATTGATACGCCAGAAAGCATCATCGTCTTCTTCGAACCCTAGCTCTCAGGTACTTGCTAAACTATGAATTATGGTTTATTTTTCTTGATGATACGTATAATTAAGAGTCAGGATCTGTTCAGATCACCCCCAAATTCTCAGTCTTTGCGAACTAGTTAGCTTAATTGCGTGTCTTATCCCCAAGAAATTTGTGAAATCGATGTATAATTTTATCTCTGCTTCAAAACATCATAGACTATTGATGTTTCCTGACAGCACCGTATGTCCATATGTGGAAGCAATTTATTTATGTATTTTTTATGTTAATGGCAGTTGGGGCTTTACTCACGCAAGCTGTACTCGTGCATGTAGGAATATATGATTTGAATTTCGCTTCTTTTTTTTCAAGTACTTCGGTTTTCTTGTTTTGATGAGAAAGAAAGGCAGTTTGCATTTTTTAAAGAAGTCTTGTTGTTAGAATAGGAGACTGTAATGGAGTAATCAGACCAGAGATGCTGTGTTAGTTTTTCCACTGCATCAATGGTATTATGCTATTAGTATATGTGAGTGTGAGGTGTAGTGATTAAGAGAAGTAATCTCTGCAGTAGTTCTTGGACTTGGCTATTTGATTTTTGTTTGCATCTTCACAAGTTGCTGATTTGCATTGCATTCAATAAGAAGAGCACATGCTTTAGTTTAGTATTGTGTTACATACATTCAACTTATCAGCCAGGGGATAAACATAAGAGTGTGTGCAGCACATTTTGACATGTTTAATACTCCCTCCGTCCCAAATTAGTTTTCCCGTTTTCCTTTTTTGGGTTGTCCCAAAACAAACTTTGCATTCCTTAAAAGGAATGAAATAAGTGGTCCATATTGATTCCCTATCCTCTCCATAAATATCAACCGAACATTTTTACTTTTTTTAAATTACGTTAAAAAGCAAATGTGAAGATTAATTTTGGACGGAGGGAGTATTAAATTACATATGAGTGCTGTAATCTTGTGACTAACCAATGCCTAACAACACAGTTAGTCTACTTATTCTTTCGATCATGTTTCCCTTCTTCAAGCCTTCTGATTTTTTGCTATTGTTTTTGTTTTCTATTTTATTTTGCAGCAAGGAATTGTGCGTAAGATGGGGGATGATGGTAATTACCGCTGTTTCATAGGAAACTTGTCATGGACAACATCTGACAGTGGCCTAAAAGAAAAATTCAGGAGGTTTGGAAATGTTGTTGAGGCAAAGGTATGGCTTTACATAGCAGTCCTTCACTTGTTTGTTAAGTTTGCAAGCTTACCATCTTAGTTGAGCGACTTGTTCAGCTTCTTTTATGCTTTATTAGTGACTGCACATATTTGTACTTCTCTAGTCGGGATAGGCTTGATTATGATGGTATTATTAATTTGTGTGTGACTGTGAAAAACTGTTTTGGGCATGTTCCTAGATTTTCATGTTGGTCTTGCCATTGTTTATGGCAAGCGCCATTTGCACTTATGGCGCTAAAGGCACTGTGGCGTGGTATTTCCGCCAGTCTGGGTTGTGGCGAGGCGTTTTACCTGAGGCGCGCCAGAGGCGGTCGCTTTTGCCGCTAGGGTTTCTGGCGAGTGGCGTGCGCCAGCCACGCTATAGTTTCCGCTAGGCCTACAACTATATAAAAACAGTTTGAGAGTTTGAGTAAGAATTCAACGTGCTTTTCTTAATAAATTCAAAGAGTAATACACATTTTTTATTGAAATTTGTGGGTTTACACTTGAGTTTACATTTTGAGAATTGTTTTCATTACTCTTACTGATCAAGGCATTTTTTTCGTCTAAAATTCTTTTTACTAAAAAAGTGAAAAAGCTGTTTCCAGTTTGTTTTAATAAACCACAATTCATTTTCATAATGATATCTAGATGTTCTCTGAAATGTGATGAGCCCGAATAAGCCATAAATAAGCTCATTCAGACAGACAGTTTTGTTTTCATGATGGCTTAGATTGCTTATCTGAATGGCAGTAGATAGTTCCTCATGATTCCATATCTTTTCTTTTCTTTTTTTGCAGTCATACATATCTTATTACACTTATTGCAATGTGCCTGTTTTTTTAGCAGGGGTTTTTAGTAATTTCTCTTCATTCTTCTTCATTGCAATGTGATGAGCTTGAATAAGCCATAAATTAGCTCATTCAGACAGATAGTTTTGTTTTCATGATGGCTTAGATTGCTTATTTGAAGGGTGATAGATAGCTCCTCATGATTCCACATCTTTTTTGCAGTCATACTTGTCTTAATACACTTATTGCAATATGACTCCTTTAATCCTTTTCTTTAATAGTTTCTCTTCATTGTTCTTCACTGCAATGTGATGAGCCTGAATAAGCCATATATAAGCTCATTCAGGCAGACAATTTTGTTTTCATGATGGCTTAGATTGCTTATTTGAAGGGTGACAGATAGCTTCTCATTCCACATCTTTTTTGCAGTCATACTTTTATAACACTTATTGCAATATGACTGTTTTATGCAGTTTTCTTTAATAATTTCTCTTCATTCTTTCTCCAAAATTCCCCATCATTTTCTCCATTTTCTTGTGCTTCTGTGTAAGAATTGGTTTTTATGAGTTTATGTTCACTCATTTTTCTCGTATTATTCAGGTTGTTGTTGACAAGTTTGATGGGCGTTCTAAAGGTTTTGGCTTTGTTGGATTTGATACTAAGACAGCAATGGAAGATGCAATAGAAAAAATGAATGGAATGGATTTAGATGGCCGTACAATTACTGTTGACAAGGCACAACCTCAACAGGCTTCTGGCAGAGGCTATGATAATGACCGGTCACGTGACCATGATCGTGACCGCGGTCGTGACCGTGGCAGTCGTGATTATGGAGGTGACCGTGGATCAGGTGGGGGAGAATGCTTCAAGTGTGGAAAGCCAGGACACTTTGCCAGGGAATGCCCTAGTGGAGGAGATAGAGGTGGTGGGAGGTATGGCGGAAAAGATGACAGGTATGGTGGTGGTGGTGGTGGTGGTGGTAGAAGCAGTGGTAACTATGGACCTGACCGCAATGGAGATAGGTATAGCAGTGGTCGCAGCAGGGATGGTGGAGGTGATCGATATAATTGTGACCGTAGTGGGCCATATGATCGTCGAAGTGGAGGTTCTAGAGCTGATTAGTAATGATGCTGCTTTTGATTTGTAAGTACTTTGGTTTTAAATGAGTAATTATTATTGTTTACCCCTTCTATGCTTTAGAAAAGTCATGTTTGAATTAAGTACAAGCTTTAAGTTAGGGATGGTTACTTGTGTCCTTAAAACTCAATCCCAAGATTTTTTGGGATAATTGTTAGGGGTCAGACTGCGTACATCCGACCCCTCTTACCCCGCAATGGGCGGGAGCCGTTGAGGCACTGGGGTTATGTTGTTGTTGTTTGGGGCAATTCATCAAAACCGCTTGCTGCATGACCCAGTGGCTCTATGTGAATTTTACTTAAATACTAAGGCCAAATTGTCAATCTGGAATTCTTTTTTTTATTCCCAAAAAAAGTTATCATTTCATTGTGATGATGGTTCTGTGTGCTTGTGTGAATTGCAGGCAGGCTAGAAGAAAGTTGGAGGCGTGCTACTGCAAGTGGATGAAACTGTGACCTCCTCTTCTTTGGCAGTGACATGATTGTCGATCATCAATCAAATCTTTTGAACTTGTGAAACGTGACACTAATTATCTACTCTTCTCTTTGCCCAGTAAATTGTTCGATAGTATGGTTTGTTTGGGATCTTATGCTTGCTTAATTTGCACGTTTGAGTGTGGTACCAGTCTTTGAATGCTACAATCAAATGAATGCTCTTTGTTATTCTCGCTTTTTTGAGTTGGAATTGAATGCTCTATCTGTGCCGCTGGATTAGTTGTGAAATCTCTTGCATTGAACGCCCGAAAGTCTCCCTGACGTTGTCACATGGTCACTAACTAGTATCAAGGGTTCTTATGAAACTGAGTGCTAGAGGCTGTCTTAGAAGGGGGTGGGTTTTTTATTTGGTCCTGTTCTTGTAAGTGAAAATCTGATTCTTAAAGCGGGTAATCATCATCATATCCTTCTTCGATTTGGTTAGTTCTGAATCTTTGTTTTGCATTATTAATATTGTGAACCTTTTGACAGGCTACAATTGGCCCTCTTTTTTGGGTATTACATGATTGGCTTCTTTTGGTAATTGAGCAAAAGATAGATCTACTGGCCTCTTAACACCCAAGTCGACTAGTTTCTCTCCATGAGTATATCAACTGGTGTCACACCTGTTTTCTTGTCCCGTTTTTGAATCCGATCTTTCTTGGAGTTTGTTGTTCTTTATGCCCCGGGGTTATGGAATGGATTTAAGTGATTGGTTATGCTCTTCCAATTGGTCATTTGTCTTCTGTTGTGCCACCTTTTGTTGACACTAGTAGTTAGTGTGTTGGTGTCATATTTGCTTTTTGAATTATAATTTTCATAACTTGACCGGCGATCAAACGAACTTCATATATTTGTTGAACTCAAATGCAGAAATTGAATCGGATTGCATTGGTACCCCATTGATGAGTGTGTTCTATCAGTTTTTCAAACTCGTGTAGTGTTGCGCCCGTTGAGCATTTAATGTTTCACATTATTATTTGCAAGGCATTAATCGCCTTCCTCGTTTTTGCTCCATATATATAACCTTTATAGCTAGTGTTCATATGGGCATGGCAGTCACTTAGAATTTATAAGCTAATGACGCGTTGCTTAACGAATGCATATCCCTTGGACATGGCAAAGTTTGCTTGGTTGTGGTATCTTGGCCCATATCTTTCTTAAGTCTATAGTGAAATGCTTCTTTGAATTTATGTCCGTGTGAAAAAGTTGTGATGGACTAAGATTATTATACCGTACTACAAAGCTTTCTAAGATTAGAGATGAACACTGCAAAACGGCTGCGTTTCTCTCTAAGGCCTTATCACATGTTATTAGTAAGCCATTTTCGCTTGTACAATCAATCATTGCAGTAACTCTAAATGATATGAGTTGAAATCAATCATTGCAGTAACTCTAAATGATATGAGTTGAATCATGTTCAACGAATCTCTAATAGGAAAAGAAGATCCATATCTTTGAGTGAGTCATACGAATTGCTTACTATAGTAACTAGCAACTACTCTCCAAGTGAGGTTAAATTGATATTTTACCACTTTAAAACATAAAGATGTAAATAGGATTGGAGGAACATCATAGGCAACTGATCGGATGACCACCCTTATTTGAAAGAGATACGTAGTCTTTGCTCTTGCATAATGATATTTGTTTGAAATAAGTTATCCATAAATCCAATAGATCATTGTAATCTGTAACGTTCACATTAATTGGGGACAAGGAGAGTAGTAGAGTACATCACAAATTTTGAAGTATAATTTAGTTTTTTTTTTAATATACGGCAATATCTCCCCCACAAGCTAAGTTGGGCTCTGTTTAGCTAGAAGGGACCAAATTTAACAAAGAGAAATGAGAGTATTAGAGAAGAGAGGAAGGGAGAGGATAATAATTTGTGTTTTGTTTGAAAATTTTGAGTGATGAAATTATGATGGAAGAGAAATATAATTTGTTTAGATGGAATGGAAAATGTTCGTGGGCACCGTGGCCATGCTACGGAAGAAACCAAATAAAGTGATTTTCTTTTTTCATTTAATACCAGTACTCCGTAATATTTTTGAAGGAAAAAAATAATTTTATTTAATAAAATCAAATAGTTTTATTTAATTTTTCTATTGCAACATTTATTTTATTCATAACTTTTTGTATATAAGTCATTACTTGACAAGTAATATGTTGTTAGAAATCTTTTCACAAGATGTACACAACGATTCCAACATTACATATATAATTTTGACGTTAAACACTTATGATTTTAAAAAAAGGGGTTTTATTCTTTTGATTGAAACACATTTTAAGTGTAAAGTATCTCACTTACATATTTTCTTTTAAATTAAACTAGTTTACTTTTGTCTTCATTTTGCTATAAGAAAAGCAAAGAAGAAATATGTAAAATACAAAACCATTTTCTCTTTTTAGAAAATGTGTCATACGAAGCAATATTATAAAAAAATGTAAAGAGACAAAAAAGTTTTGAACGGGGAAAGAAAAAATTAAACAAGGAATACAAAAAAATGGGTTTAGATGAAAAAATAAATCAAAAAGTATAAAATAAATAAGTAACTTCTGATATAGAAAAGGATGAGTTTCATCGCAGATTGATGGTAAAACGTGAAGTCTGCACATGATACTGCAGAAACAATATGCTTAACATAATTGATTTTCAATGCAGCTGATAAGAATCAAACTCGAGTCTATTCCCTTCACACACTCCGTGTGTTTGCCTAAGTAGTGGTGGAGCACGTATTCATTAACTTAAACAAATCATCTCATTCTTTTTAATACTCCGTATAATCAATCGTTCAACACAAAGTAAAAACATTTCAAAGTTGTTTCAAAAAAAAAAAAAAAGAGAGATTTCAAAGTCAAACAACTCTATGGAACATGACACGGTGGTTCCTACACTATCACCGCCTTCTTTTGTTCTGTCCTCTCCTCTCTCCTCTCCTCTCCAATGAAATTGAAACCTAACTAGCACCAAGCAACCTTCTACATTTCTCTACTGATATTCTCTTAATCCCCTCTTCGTCCTTCTAAGGTACAAATCTGTCTCCGAGCTGAGCTTATTCACCTCCAGATCTGGTTCGATTTCAAGCTCTGCCCAGCACTCTTAGGGTTTATATTCGTAGTTGATCTGTGTTTCTTGCACAATATGATTGCGATCTTACCTTGATTTGCGCAAAAAAGACCCTTTTTGGGTGTGTGGGTTTGTCTGATTGATTCCTTCTAAGTGATTTTTTAGATTTCTTTTAGCTTCTGAACTTTTCTCTTGTTTTATTGGAGGTGGATAGGAAGAGGGTTGTTCTTTTCTTGAGCTTTGGTCGTTCTTGGTGGGCAAAGTTTTTGGCTTTTCCGCTTTATTTTCAGGGTTTTCACTCGCCCTTGAAGGTGTTACTGCAAATAACTTCAAAACCAGGTAGATTCTTCAGAAAAAAAAATGTTAATAGTGAGAGCTGGTTAAAAATTCCAGCTATTGGGGACATTATGTCATAAAACTACTTTACCTGCCTAGTTTGAAATTGGAAGATTCTTTACACAAATTATTGTCTAGTGTATTGTGGTAGAAAATATTCAGCTTATATATTGCATTCCGTTAACATTTTTTTACCGTTTTTAGTTTTTAGGAGCATTGGAATATTGAGCTTTTTTTTTTTTGCACAAAAGCATGTTTATCCTTCTCTTCAATACAGCTGTGTATGGTGGACCTTCTTAACTTAGCTGTTAATCTTGTTACTCATCTACAAAGTTGAATTATGAAAGTGAAGTCTGCTTTAAGAATCTAAAAAGTTCGCATGAGATAAAAAGCCCATGTGAAGCTTTAACTTTTTTTTTGTGCTCATCTTTTTTTTCATTATTGGATGGCTTTTCTTGCTTCATTCATTGTCTTTTTCATCAACAATTTATTCTCATAGCCAAGCCTCTATTTGCTTGTTTTTTCCCAGTGACCACATTCATTTTCTTTCCCCCCACAGATTTTTTGAGAACAGATGTCGTTCCGCAGCATAGTTCGGGATGTTAGGGGTAGTTTCGGAAGCTTTTCGAGGCGTAGCTTTGATGTGAGGCTGTCCAGTGATCATCGCAGGGGAAGATCTTCGAACGGTTCGATCCATGACTTGAGTGACCATAGTGGACCAGTAGTTGGGAACGGCTGCTGGTCAAATCTCCCACCAGAGCTACTCTTTGATGTGATCCGGAGGTTGGAGGAGAGCGAGAGCACGTGGCCCGCTCGTAAGCACGTTGTAGCTTGTGCTGCAGTTTGCAGATCTTGGAGGGGCATGTGTAAGGAAATTGTTAGGGGTCCTGATTTGTGCGGAAAGCTCACTTTCCCTGTTTCACTCAAGCAGGTGCCTTTTCTTGATCCTTAATTGCCACTTTCATGATGATGTTTAGAATTAGTTAAACTTTACTGTGAATCTCTGGAATACAGTTTAAACCAATTCTTTGTAGAAAGAGAATTACTGAGCTCTGTTGATTTTTCATTTTCAGCCGGGATCTCGCAATGGAACTATTCAATGCTTCATCAAGAGGGACAAGTCTAATTTGACATACCATCTTTTCTTGTGTCTCAGTCCTGGTAACCTATTTTCCTTAACTTCTTCAGTTGTATGTTTTGTTGGGCAGTGTTCAAAATCTCGACTTTTCAGCTTTGCTTGTTGAGAACGGGAAGTTTCTTCTCTCTGCGAAAAGAACTCGACGAACGACTTGCACAGAGTATATCATCTCCATGAATGCAGAAAACATCTCTCAATCCAGCAACACATATATTGGGAAATTGAGGTAATATATAAAATTCAATACAATTGTTCTTAGCATCCCTTGGTCTTCTTATGACCATTTCTTGCAGATCGAATTTTCTGGGGACGAAATTTATCATATATGATACCCAGCCGCTGAGTACCAGTAGTAGTAGTAGCGCGCGCACTCTCCCGGCTCCGGGCCGCACGAGCCGAAGATTCTATTCCAAGAAAGTGTCACCCAAAGTTCCGGCGACGGGGAGCTACGGCGCCGCGCACATCGCGTACGAACTGAACGTGCTCGGAACGCGGGGCCCACGGAGAATGCACTGTACCATGCTCTCGATCCCTTCCTCGGCACTCGATGCCGCCGTACAACAACAACCCGCCGAGCTCCTTCACAGGGACGACTCGTTCCGGAGCGCCGCCTCTTTCTCGAAGTCCCTTCTGGAACCTTCCGGCGATTTCAACTCCGCCCGGTTTTCCGACATCGGCATGCCGGCACCCTACGAAGAAGGAGAAGGAGAAGACGGGGGCAAGTCGAAGCCGCTGGTTCTCAAGAACAAGGCGCCACGCTGGCACGAACAGCTACATTGTTGGTGCCTTAACTTCCGAGGGAGGGTGACGGTTGCGTCCGTGAAGAATTTCCAACTAATTGCCGCCGCCGCCGCCAGTGGGCCACCGGCAGCAGCAACCTCGCAACAGTCGTCGTCATCGTCGGATCACGACAAGGTGATACTGCAATTCGGGAAGGTGGGGGAAGACATGTTTACCATGGATTACAGGTACCCCTTGTCTGCATTCCAGGCTTTTGCCATCTGCTTGAGCAGCTTTGATGCCAAATTGGCTTGTGAATAGAAGAAGAAGAAGAGGAAGAAGAAGAAGAAAGATTAATTGTCAATTTAATTAAAATTAGACGACGCTGTAAACATGTAATGCATTGCCTGTGTTTCCCTCTTCTTCTTCACTCACCATTATAACCAGAACTGGTTTTGATAAATCTATGAATCCCACGCTTTATTTATTTTCTCTGGGAAAACGTTTCTTGTTTTCTTTCCATGTGTTTGTTCCATTTGATGAACAGTGTGCTCTTCGACTCTGTATTTAACTCCTCCTTCCGTCTCAAATTAAATTTCACATTTTCAAAGAACGAAGCGTGCGAAAATCATGGAAACCATTTCGTTTGTCCATTTGTTTCTTTGATGCTTTCTTGTCCTAGAATTGATTTTGAGTAGAACAAATTAGTGCGGTGAAGATATCAAGAAAGAGTGAGTAGGGTAATTGTTAGTATATACGGAGTAAAAATGATCAGAATTACAAGTTTGACTTTTTGGTTGAATTGATTCTTTAATTTGATATCGGAGTTTTGATGACCAAAAAATCATGAGTTTGAAAAAGTCACGCCTGCACGTCAGAGACATGTTAGAATATTTAAAAAATTCCTTGGTTTCCATGACATTCAGAATCGATTCATCAATTCCTTGGTTTCCATGATTCTCAATGTCATGGGATGAATCAGAGGTGTTATGATCTCCGTTCGTAAAATTTACGGTTCCTACCCCTCCTAATCTCCTCGGTAAACACCCCACCATGCCCCGATCTGAACACACCCTCTCACCCCCCTCAATTGCACCCCCAAGTTAATTTTGATTTTGGAGTCAAATTTTAACTCTAAAGTCAAAATTAATTTGGGGGATGCAATTGAAGGAGGTGTGGGGGTGTGTTCGGGTCGGGACTAGATAAGGGGTTTATCGGGGGATAAAGGGGGTAGGAATCGTCAATTTTACGAACGAGGCACCGAAGTATTCCCAGATTGACATTGATTTCCAATTTCATGGGAACGAGCCTCTATATAAATTGATTTCCTTGTAGTGTAATAAATTGAGGTGTGGTGGTTGATTGAGTGGTACTTGTTCCGTACGTGCATATCGCCAGATCGACCAGCCATTGGTGGTTGAGTGGTTCTATCCATTCCCTTGTCATAGAACGAACAATGTCCCAAATTTAGGACTCCTCACGTGGGCTTTTAGGACCCTTACTGAGTTTCCTCATCTTTGTCATCCCCCCAATGTCTCTCATCCATCCACATTCAACATTGCCCTTACCCAATCCCACATACCCACGACCTAATCCACTTTTCTTCTTCTTAATTCCATTCTTCACCCCACTCCTCTTCGATTCATCAAGTCTCATCCGTGTCAAGTTAGAAGGACGTGAATCTTGATGTGTTTAAACTCGAGGTTGTCGAGTCAACATGGAGCCACACTCGCCCAGGCCAGGGTCATGATCACGTCGGAGGAAAGTCTGACATTGACCAAGCCAACCGGTTGGTCCACACTCTTGAGGAGTGTATGGACCGGGCCAAACCTTGAAATGTGACACATGGACCGAGGGTGGACATGGCGAGGAAGATGTGCACTAAAATGGAGAGCATGCGACTTGAAGATTTAGTCCGACCTATGATTATTGCCTAGGCTATGGGTCATCATTTTACAGAGTCGGACGAGCGATGGATTGGAGGATGATAGAATTTTTAGAATGGGGTATGGACAACTGGATTGGGCAATAAGACACTTGAGCTGAACCACATTAAAAGATTGAATCCAATCGATTAGTTATTTCAACTCAAGAGCTTATATACCGATTATTTTTCTCACACTTTTCCGATGTGGGATACTCTTTAACACTCCCCCTGAAGTGGACAACCGGACCATTTTGAATCTAAACGGTTGACCACTTGCAAATGGACTACCATACCCTTGATTTTTTTTGAGCGCCAACACCTAAAGGACCACGAGCCGCTGGGTATGGACTTCCAGACGAGCAATCGTGTTAAACAGGCCACAGGCCGTTGGGTACATACTCCATACGGACAACTGGGCTAAAGACTAACAGGCCGCTAGGAATGAACGTCTAGACGGACACCTTGACAAACGAGGTGGGCTAAAAATGGCTCTGATACCATGTTAAAATTCCGGCGGGCTGAGAACAACGGATAGAGTGTCGGGTAAAATTAACCACTTGCATATAAAGTCGGGATCCACAATTCTAACCCAAAAGCTTAAGCTGATAGGTAGGGTTTCACCGTTCTATATATGCTAGTGATACTCATCTTTATTTTTCGATGTGGGAACTCCAACACTCCCCCGCAAGTGGTAACTAGTCTGGCCTAGTTAGCACTTGGATAAACGGGTCTAGCATCTCAATCTCTTATAGCTAGCCCACACAACGGGCGGTGGCATCTCAATCTCTTTTTAGCCAACTCAGCCCAGATCACAGACGGGTAGCTCATTTTTGCTAAACCCACATCCAAACAACCAGGAACAATCAAACTCAGACCGGACCTACTCTGATACCATGATAGAATTTAGGATTGGGTAGAGATAACTGGATTATCATGGAGATCATGTGACTTGAAGATTTAGTCCGACCTACGATTATTGCCTAGGCTATGGGTCATCATTTTACAGAGTCGGACGAGCGATGGATTGGAGGACAACATGTGATGGATTCTGGCAGATCAGTGAAGGGTCCACCTAATATATGATGTGATTGATTGGAGCAAAGACGCTAGAATTCGAAAAATATAATCCAACATCTAGGATCCAAATGACTAGTCAATCAAAGAATTGCATAGATCCTTCAAATGACTACAGTAGGCATTACGTTATCAATGAGCCCCATCCCTGAAGGTCTCCTCAGACCCGGTCAAGCATCACTGAGAGAAGATAAATTGGACTTTGGTTGCAGATTGATGACAAAGAGTGGAGTCTGCGCCTGATACTTACAAAGACTCTATGCTTAGCATGATTACCTCTCAGCGCAGTTGCTAGGAAGCGAATTCGAGTTTTACTCCCTTGTTAGCCTTTGCCAATTGCGCAATGCCCGCCAGTTACACTAGATGTGAAGGAACAAACCTCATCCCTATCGCACCTCACACAGTTGCTTCTCATTATAGCCACTTTTCTCGGCCTCTATTACATCCTCTCATATCTTAACTCCAATCTATGCTTTTAATGGAGAAGTTTAGGGTGACGACATTTTTCTCGTGGCAGAGTAAGGAGCGATGATGACGTGTTTTGGTGGCATAATAAAGAGTGACACAAACGACCCAACAATCGAGGGTGGCTTATAGGAATGGGAAAACCGAAAAGAAAAATAATAAATCGAGAAAGTATAATTTTTAATATCATGTTTTATTATAGTCTATGTGCTTGTTTGACATCAATTTCATTATATTCAACTCATTCACAAGTGTCTTCCTCGTTGCACGTATTTAACTCATAGATTACTTAGATTGAATGTGTAACAAGAAAACAAGTATTCCGTAAGACCGTAACTTGAGTATAAGAGGATGATTCAGCTGGTTATAGTTGTTTTTTAGCAATGCTATAAGCACATCAAAATGGAATGTCTTATTTATACACCTAGCACTCAAGACACGTAACTTTTGTGCATATGCAAATATTACGGAGTACATATTTGTATGTGTGTGAAATCTTGATGTACAAATAGAGTATTTCATCTTAGTATACCCCTAAGTTAATTTTTTAAACTTATCTACTCCCTCCGGTCTTAAAACTATTCATGTTTTGATTTTTTTTATCAAACACTGACGCACTTTGACCATAAATTTTGAGAAAAGTATTTTTAATTATAATATAAATTTAATATTATTGGATTTATCTTAGAATTTTTTTTGATATATCAAATTTTTATATCATTTATTTAATTAAATTATATTAAATTTGTACTAAAAAAATGTCATTATTTAACAAAAAAAATCAAAATAGAAAAGAATTTCAGAAAAATTTGAAGAACGGGAAACTGGGAAAGAGCCCGTTTCGAAAAGAGCATCCGAATGCAAATTCAGCAAAAGGCGGTGTAAACTGTAAACAAGTGAAATTACAAAATTGGACGCGGAGGACCTTCTCTGGTCCTTCGCCGTTACTCCGTAGTCCGTACATTAAAATTCACTGGACCCTATAAATACGACAGAAAAAAAAAAGAGGAACCGGAGGATATTTTCGTCAATATCATCATTACCCCTACGGGGAAGAAATTCCACCTCAAGCCTCCTCAAATCCCCACTCCCTTCTTCTTCTCCCATCCGCCACGAAACCAAATTCACTCCCTCACACAAACAGATTAACCGATCGATCGATCGAATGAAGAAGTTATCTAGCTTTGCGAGAAATCCGGCAGCGGAGAGGATCGGCTCCTGCAGCGAAGTGGCGGAATCGAGGAGGCTCGTGACGGAGCCGGAGATGGACGCGGCTCTGCAACTGATTCAGCTCAGCGGCGATTCCGACAGCGGAAGATACTGCGGCGACGAGGAGAGCGTCACCGACGCCACCTCCGATGAAGCCGCCTTGGATGCTCGCCCGCCTCGGAAACGGAAATTCCGATCGCTCGTCGATCTCTACGCCGCCACGGATCCCGTCCTGATGGTCAAGTCTAACAACCGCAAGTCCGCCGGTAAGAAGAAGTTCCGTTCAGGCACTTCTTAGTAAAAAAAATATCAGTATGTAACAATAATAATAATATAAGAGCCTGTAGTAATTATCCATAGACTTTGTTGGTATAAAGCATAAACAAGCAGCCGAAACCGTCTTTCCGGCATCTTCGGTCTCCCTGCGATTTTCATTCTCTTGCTTTTCCGATCCTTTTATTTCTTCGTTTTCTATTTGAACCTAGTATAGCTCTACATGTAAATGCAAGTCTCAATCTTCATACACATCTTTAATTTCTTGAACAAAAGAAAAACCAGAAAAATAGGTACAAATTACAGAGTATTCGAGTTTTTCGATAACTTTTATTTGAGTATACATTTTCATTTATCATTTGATGAAACCAAATGATAATGACGATCACAATTTGTTTTGTGGAATATTTTATGTAGTTTTAAATATGTAATGAAGTAGTATGTTTTATTTATATATCAATTCAATTTGTTTGAGTATTACAAAGTTAATGTTAATCATAAATGTTATTTTCAAATGACTCTTAGTTTTAGGATTGACCAAAACAAAGTCCATTCAATCTTAGAAGAATTGGAGACCAAGGGGGTAGTTAGTTTATTTTATCAATGGATCGGGAGCTGTCGAAAGAGCATGAACTAAAAAAGGAAAACGAGCAATGTTATGCTGCTCACTCTCAGTTTGGTCTTACTTTTGGTTCATTTTGTGACTAAAAAAAGTCAGTACCAAATGCTTGGTAAAGCTTCTTCATGATTTGTGCTGAACTAGGTTCGTTTAATTCAAAACGGGAAACGCAAACGAAAGATTATGATCGACTTGTGCTCATTAGATTATGCGTTATGGGCGTGATGACCCAAGCTTGATCATTCACCGTCATACCTCGTCATGACATGACTACCGTAATACCACCGGCGTAAGGGGATGTGACACTTCGCCAATGATGGTGGTTATGGGCATTGCCCCGTTGCCCCTACCTATTTCCTTTTTGAAATTTCAATCAATCAAAAATAATAATTTACATCTTCATTCACTCACCTTTTGGTCACGTCTCCATTTCAAATATCATAATACACATATTTCATTCACATTCTCCTATTTAGATGTGCTTACATGACACCTCGTGAAAGCTTGCCATAACACAAGTCTATAGGCTTTTGGCCATTTAATCTTATACTTCGTAGAATTCTTTTAACTAGTGGCGTGACTCATGATTCTCTTTTTCATTTTTGGTCTGTCCGAAAATATTTTTCCCGTTTTTTTTTTAGTCTACTTTTTAGATTTTCAATAATATACTTCTATTTTGCCATGCCAGTATTCTACTTTTTTATTTCTTTTTTAATAAGAAAAGAAACTCTAAAATTTTATAGTTCATGAATTTTTGGAAATTTGTCACTTTTTTACTACTCGTTAATAAGCGTGTCAAGTCAACATGTGAAAAATATTTCCGGACGGAGGGAGTAGTGTTTTTGTTACTATACATTCTAAATTTCAAGAGTATGAATATTATTTTAAAAGTCCGTACTATTAGTTATAGGGTACACCGTACACGTACACTACATTAGTTTTACCCTTAATAATTTACATGCAAGTCAAATCAAGCAATGAAATCAAGAACGAGCATTCTATAAAGTGGGTGTAAATAAAATGTGTGTAATGAGATTTGAAAGAGAAACTTGACCAAGAAATGAGGGCGTGAAGGCGTGTACTGACTGGGCAAAGCCATGGCCGTGAAGGACTCTTATGAGAGAAGTGTCTGAGGGAGAGTGGTCAAGCCCTCCCCATAGCCCAAGCAAGATACTTCCTTTAACTTGTCTCCTAATGTAGTTCTTATTTAGACTTAATGAGTTTTGAAGAAAGTTTTAAATAATTCGGAATAAAACAAAGGGTAAAAAAATTGTTTAGAACACAAAAGACGAATTCTTTTCTTTAAATGAAAAAAGGAAAAATGTGAATATTTTTTCGATTGATTAAGAAATGAAAGTGGTAATATAGTTTAAGACCGGAGTAAATTTTATATCTTGAGTCCTGATTTAACAAAATTTAGGGAAAAAAATAACAAAATGAAAAATGTTTATAGTTAAAAACTATTTACGCTATGTTTGGTTGGTAGAATTTCTCTTCTTTCCTCTCCAAAATAAAAAGACTATGATTTTCCATCTTTTAGCTTTTTTCTTCGTTTTTCTTCCGTTTTTTCTTTTCCTTTCAGCTATAACCAAAGGAAAAAAATGTGTTTTTCCCTACCTTGTTTCAATGACCATCAGACATGGCCTGGGAGGCCCTTGGAGATAGAGCTCATCCTTTTTTTTAATTAATATGAAGGCCGCCCGAATTATGTAGACTTGTCTAGGTACAAGTTCCAAACCGCGCGAAATCCATTACCCATGTTAATTTGTCAAATTTAAAATTTATCGCATGTTTTTTTTTGAAGGCTTTTATCGCATGTTTAATTTATTTGTTAATTGAATACAGTTCAACTTGGCAATTTATCACATGGCTTGTTAGACAATAATACTAATAGTACTTCTTGTAGTTTTGGTTATAACAGTGTTTCATTATTAGTCAGCTTCCTAATCCTATTTGTGGTAGATGTTATATTTAGTTAGTTTTCATTCTCTATTTCTAGTTGTGTTAGGAGTCTTTCCTATATATATACTCTATCATTTACTTCATAATTCAATAAGCAATATTAATATTCCAATATTTCAACACTTTCCATTCTCAGATTGCTTTAGTTATGACGTTGTTAAATGTTAATTTTAACCATTAAAATATTATTCAAAAGTTCAAATTCTAAGCTCCCTACCACCACCAGTACATTCTCTTAATTGAGAAAAAGACCAAAGTAGGACTAAAACATTGAAAATATACAAAACTAAGACTTTCATGTTTTTATTCCCGAAATAGGACTTACATTACCAAACATGGTCATATATATTACCAAAAAAGTATAGTAATTTGCGCATGTACACTGCCACATTACCACAATGCAAAGACACAATACCACAGTGCAAAGTCTTATTTCGGGAAAAAAAACATGAAAGTCCTATTTTGGTACTTTTCTCAATGCTTTAGTCATATTTAGAATGATTTCTACTCTTAATTTAGGTGCTAGATTTAAAAAAAATTAGTTTGACAAATTGAAGAATTTTATTTAAATTTAATAAAATAATATTTATCAACGTAAAATTTAGTATTTGTCAAAGTAATAAAACTTTCAACCATAACGGCCAAATAAACGGAATGTATCCTTTGAGTACATTACCACAAATTTTAAGGACCCACGGAGTATATTTTGGATAATGTAGGATCTGAGAGTTTAGACTAAAAAATCAAAGATAACCCGAAGTATATTTAAGATAATGTGGGACTTGAGACTTATTGCCGGAAAATCAAGGGTACCCCAAAGTAGTTTTCTACACTTTTTTATGTATGTTAAGAGAAAATTAGCCAAAAATCACAAATGCAGTATGCTCTAAATCCAGTGCTATAAGTTGGAATAACTGCAGGTATGTTGAATTGTTGATAGGAAAAAAACTACGGAGCATTTGTTACTGCATATGTACTGACCAACATTACTGCAAAGTAGCAAATAAAGGACAAATTAGACATGAAAAAAATGGAAATGCGCGAAAATAAAAGTATATAAGTGTTAAATTCATTAAAGAAAAATCATGTTATCGGTATGCCTATTTGGGTTAATGCTATATCGAGCGATTGTATGAATACCTAAAATGAGAGTAAAGATGAACGAAAGAAAAGGGTACTGAGTGACTGAGTACTACCCATTACACTAATGAAGTCAGAATAAGTTAAGCTCACAACAAATTGATCAGTTCCAAGCGCGGATTGGCTTTACAACGTCTTAGGCTGATCAAAAATTTCTACAGTACTCCGTACTATATATATATATATATGTATAGAGAGATAGATAGATACAGTTGTAAGCGCTTACGTGGCTGGCGGATGAATGTGGTTGGCATCAAAAAAATCAAAAGCTCAGGAAAAATATGATCTGCTTAAATTGGTAGTGGTGAATGAATGAATGAATGAGAAGAGAGCAGAGAGCAGTGTGGCATTCATTCACTCAAACCCCAACCCCATCAAAGGAACACTGGTGGGATATGACAGCCAGTTTTGTTGGGCTGATTTCTATGCTGCAATCCACAGCCACCTGCCCAAAATCCAATCATCAAAAACAAACCAAATAAACACTCACTTCATTTCCAACCTTAGCCTTTGTTGTGGTGTGGGATAAATGCAACATTATCAATTAGTGTTAGCATTTTAGGTTGTTTTTTGTGAGTGTGGATTCATTATGAAAAATGCTAAAACTAAACATTGGAACTGTTTGTTGTTGCCCACAAGGCACTTAGTTCATTATCTATCCTAAGGGAAACATTGTAAAGATCACTCTTTTAGCTCTATTGGCAATCGACGAAATCAGTTGTGCCAAAAATGTTCGAAATTATGCACATCATGATAAAGCCTCCCCGCCACTTCCATTCTTGATTTTGGTTGAACATTTTGTTAAATAAAATTCTACTCAAGGTTTATTATGGCAAATCTTCTCCACCCTCCAAACAAAAATTAAAATTACTAATTTGTATCAATATCTAATACCGTAGTATCATTTTTATTTAATTAGGATCATTTTTATTTAATTAGGACCAATTTTGATTGAAAAAAATTAAAAATAGACAAATATTCCGGACAGAGGGAGTACAAGTTTATTCGTTGAATTTGACTTTTTTCAAAAGTCAAATCAAATAAACTTTAATCAATAATTTGATGAAAACGCATTACATATTAAAAAATAATTTTCATGCAAAAAAAATCATACCGTACCATTTTTATTTTATTACGGAGTATCAAAATTTGTCAAGTTTGCCTAAAAAAATAAAATTAGAAAAATACACTAGGAGACATATAGTACATAATTACAACAACAACAACAACAACAACCTAGTTAAATCCCACAAGAGTAGGGTCTGGGGAGGGTGTGTGTACGCAGACCTTGCCCTTACTCGAAAGTAGAGAGGCTGTTTCCAAAGAGACCCCCGGCTCAACATCGAAAGTTGCAGTGTTGAATTAATTAGGGATGTTTTTAAGGTCATGCTAGGGATACCACAAATGGTGTATTCCATTTGTACATCAGACACACACAGACACAATGTACCTATGCCATGTGGATTGCACACATATCTGGATTGGTCTGGTGTACAAATGGGATACACTAAATGTAGGACTTAACTTTTTTTATTCCCTAAATATGACTTAATGATGTCTAGTGGGAAGAATGCCCAAGTGATGCTGGACATTTAGTTAAATAATAATGACTAATAGATAATGACTAATGGTCCTACATTGATAAATAAAAATATATGATACTAAAACCATTATGTTTTAGTCCTATTTAGGTAAATTATCTTATTAAAAAATGAATAGTATATTGCATATAGTGCAAATTTAACCATATACTCCGATCGAAGTACATTATAGGTTGGAGATGCTCTAACCAAACACATTGTAAATCTTTTGAAAAGGAGAGGAAATCACCCGGTTTTGGGTAATCGGGTATGGGTATACTAACCTGAACCTTGGGCGAACTGAGTCCGAGAATGACGAGTTTGGCTCCCGGGTCACCTAGAACCTTCAACACGACCCGGTCCTTAGTAGCGTCCTGGAGCAGAGATTGAACATCGGTTTGCTGCAAGATGGCAGGGCTGACGAAGACGGCAGTGTAGACCCGGCTGACCGTGTGGGCGGGCATGGAGAATTCGCGGACGAATCCCTGCCCGAGCGGAATCTCCTTGTACAGGACGACGAATCGGGATCCGGCGAACGTGATTCCCACCTTGTTGTCGTTGGTGACGTTGAAGGACATGGTGATGGCGATGCCTTCGGATGCGGCGGCGGCGGCGACATCGGAGGAGGCGGCGGCGGTGGTTGTGGGCGCGACGATCTGGACTTTGACTTGGTCAAGATCGATTTGGGGTTTCTTAGGCTTGACGAAGAGGACGACGAGGAGAACGAAAGCAACTACGAGGACGGCGATGAGGACCACGAGAAAGAAGAGGCAGCGGCAACAGCCGCTCAATGACGGCTTGGAGGAGGAGGAGGAGGAGGAGCGGCTTGATTCATAGTAGACCCGGGGAGCTCTGCCGGAGCTCATTTCTGCTCCGGGTGATTGCGGGCGGAATAATTTGAGGGCTTTGTGGCGTAAGATTGATTGAGAAGGTAAATTGAAAAGCCAACGACCAGAAAAGAAAAAGAAAAAGAAAAAAAAAAGAAACTTTCTCCTTTGGTAAGCTAATTTTAGTCCGTGTAATTTATTTAGGAGTAAATTCTATAATTGGTCCTTTATAACAGAGGATTTCTCTATTTAGTCCTTTATTATCAAATACTCCATTATCCAAGTGGTCCATCTTTTATGGGTACCTTCCTACAAATAATCTTTTTTTGATCTTCTATCATGTTGGTGTTAATTTCACAATGATAATATATCTTTTTTGTCATACACAATTCCAAATGCGGTTCCGTTTGCGTCGTTTGTGAATTACAGTCTTTTTTACGATAACTATAGTCTACAAATGTGATCTTTTGTCAGAATCCTAGCCCACAATTATAGTCATTATTTTTGTGTTATCCGCTTAACCAATATCAGAACACGTCACTAGACATAATGCTGACGTCAAATTATACTTTTAGCCTTTAAATTAACACCAACACGGCAAAAGATCAAAAAAAAGACCATTTGTGGAAAGGTACCCTTAAAAAAAGGACTACGGGGGTAATATTTGATAATAGAGGACTAAATATGGAAACCCCCTGTTATAAAGGACTAATTACTAATTATAGAATTTACTCTTTATTTATTTTGTTGAAACTAAGTTAAAAGTTGATAAATATTAAAGGCATGTTTGGGAATATCATTAGCTATTAGCGTTAGCATTTTGAAAAGGTTATCTACGGACAGCGTTTAGCATGAGTGTTTTCAAAGCAATCTGTACCGTTAAAATTTTATCCAAAACGTTAACGCTAATCTCTAACGTTATTCCCAAACGTCAACAGGCCCTAAATATTCAAGAACTAATTGATTGAATTGAAGGTAGTACTTTCGTTTTTGGTGTATTTTCTAAATTCACTAATCCAACCGGATACATTTTAATCATTAGCTTCTTACTAGTTAGAGAATCTCACATCGGAACTTAAATAGAAAATAAATTGGTATATAAGCTTTTGAGTTGAACTAAGTAATTTGATTGAATTTAATCTTTGAATGTAGTTCAACCCAAGTATCTTATGGGCCAAATCTAGTAACCCTTATCATGTTCTAAGTTGTATCATGGTAGCGGAGTCAAGTATCTAAAAATTCTACTGAGCCGTGTGCCGCTGCTGTTTTAACCTACATCATTTGTGAAGGTGTCTGTCTAGAAGTTCGTTCATAGCAACCCATGTAATGTGATTGTTCGTCTGAAAATTTATATTCAGCGATTCGTGGTCCTTTAAGTGCTGGCACTTTCGATCCATTTTCTAGGGAGGAGGAGTCCATTTGCAAGTGGTCAACCAGTTATATTCAAAATGACTCGGTTGTCTATCTGAGGAAAAGTGTTAGAGATTATCCACATCGGAACTTGAAGAAAAAATAAATCGATATATAAACTCTTAAGTTGAATTAAGTAATTCGATTGGATTCAATTTTTTAATATAATTCAACCCAAGTATCTCATGGCTCAATTCAGTAATCCTTACCCTGTTCTAAGTTCTATCACTCGTCAATTTGAGATCATATTTAATTTATCCTTTTTATTTTTAAAAGTTACCCAAGAAAAACTTTCAAATAAACAAATGAAAATATTTGGAGATGTATTAGAGAATCACATTATTCGTCTAATATAAATTGAATATAAAAACTTCTAATTCCCTCTCACGCTCTCACTGGATGTACTTTACCAAAGGAATAAGTTGGATAGGGCGTTCCTTAGTTACTCCGTATGAAGTAAGAGCAAACTACGGTGCCTTTTTTGACATTCATTGTTTTTCTTTCATATAAAATTTCAAGTCAATATTCTGAAAATTTTGACATTTTACAAAAATATTTCAAAATTACATAATTATTACTCCTTATAACTCATTGTATTTGTCCAACTTGACTTTTTTGGGTCAAATAGAATGAATTTTGAGCTATAATTAAACAAAAATTGTTATGTATATTAGAATAAAAATGATTTTATTAGAATAATCATGTAAAAAAATTTCAAAATTTTATTTCATTGTAGTAATATATATAATGCAAATCGAGATAGTACAAGTTTACACACTGCAAATGAGGTAATATTAGTGCTCCCGGAAATTCAATACTTTTGCAAATACTACAACAGAATTAATCTACACGAACCTCTCATTTTTCAAGACGTATCTTTGAAATATTTGTAACTTTAACACCAAAGTGAACTAAACTTTGGGGATGATATTGAAAAGGTTGGGAGTGGGTTCGAACCAATCCAAAGTTGGGGGTTTGCCAGGAGAGTTAGTGAGAGGTAAGAACTATTAATTTTACTAAGGAAACATTGTAAATGCTTCAATTGGAGTCCGTGTCATCTGTTGACACTCAAAACAAGTGTCGGCAAAACCTAGCCGTTATTACAAAGATATTAAATTCCCAAAAACACTAGTAACAATTATGTAATCTTAGAGCATTCTTGTAAAAACTCCAAATTTCCAGTAAACTTCTTTCAATAGATTCACTTTTTAGTGTTCAGTATTGCCTCATTTTTTTCAATGGAGGGCAATTAAAATATACACAAAATTTGCATAATTAAAACTGCCAACTATTCGTGGAATGGAAAATGCCAACTTAAAACACAAGAATGAGCATGACATGTGCAAATCCTAAGGGTCCATTTGATATACGGAATTGGTGAAATTGGAATTGAATTGGAATTAAAATTTCATGGGATTCAATTCCATAGAATTGAATTCTGATAATTCCAATTCATTTTTTTCACTATCAATTTCAAATTCACATAATTTTTGTGCTACCAAACACTAGAATTAGAGTTGAAGCCCCAATTCCAATTCCATAATTTGAATTCCATGTACCAAACGGGACCTAAATGTTTTTAAAGCTAACACTAGTAGTTATTAAACAACCAATAGACAAAGCAGACAAATTGCAAGAACAGACACATATATATTATATAATCAAGAAGACAACTGAAACAGAAATAAGTTAACCACAGTAGAGTTTGATTAATGGAATAGCCTTGAGGAAAGATAGACATGAGTACACAGAACAAGAGCTGCCCTCGCTCCCTTGAGAATCGTTGCATTCCAACTTGGAACCAGATAAATGCCGAGTAAAAGACTGGGCTTTCTTGATTCGTACGACTATTTGCAAATAGGAGCTTAAGAGATATAAAATCATCATCATCATTGTCTTGGAGCTAGGGAGCTTTGGTGGCATCATCTCCAGCAAGATCATCATCATCATGGTAAATGTTCTCGGCCATCTGCCAGATTTGCAGTATGTTGTCTTCAGCCACGCTGGCGATGACCCAATCCTCACACGGATTCCATGAGAAGTCTGAAATTTTACTTGTATGCCCTCCATGAATGAAGAGGAGTTCGGGCGGCCCATCTTCTGCATCCTCTGGTGTTTGTTCTTCGTCAATTCTGGTATTTAAAAAAAGAGATATATAATGACACTTTACCAGTTTTGGAGAGTTTGATTCTCTATCCCCAAGACTATTCGTCCAGTTTGGCTTTTTGGAGACAAACTTTGATCATCAATCAAATAAAAATTGCAGTGATGATGTAGAAAATACCTGCTAAGATCCCAGACCATGAGCCTCCTGCCAAGGCAACAAGAACCTAAGATGGTCTCGTTCTTTGGATTCCACGCAACCTGGAACACCTCCTCCCTGCAAATAGGTACTTTAATTTCATTTGTGTGGCCAGGTAGGGCAAATGATTAACCAAATGAAGACACTAAACTCTCACATGAGAAAAAAAGGTGCCAGAAACAACTCTTACTTGTGGCTATCAAAGGTATGGAGTGCAGAAGTAATCTTGCGCAGGTCAAACAATTTGACTGTCTTGTCAGTGGATCCGGTTGCTACAACCCACTCATTGAATGGATTGAACGCCAAGCAGTTAACCTTTTACCAAAGACAAAGACGCAATGCCGTGAACAGTACAAAATACATATTTAAGCCAAAGGGGTCCAAAGTGATGGTTTTTTCCAAAGTGTGTGAGTTAGTATAAAATTTGAATCCATGTATATATAATAGTCAGATCCCACCTCTCCATTATGAGCAACTACAGATTGCATAGGCTTCGTGACAGATGGGGAGCGGAGATCCCATATGTGTAGGTATTGATCGTCTCCAACCGACCCGAATAAATACTCGTGCCTCATATGCCATGCTACATCCTCAACAACTCCCTCGTGAATCTAAAATAACATCGATAAAAAAAATGTTACTCTCTTAGACATGAGAGAGTTCTGACCAACAGTCAAACCCAATGTTTGATTGTTCCCATGACTGCCACTAACCTTAAAGATCTGCATGGCATCAAGGGCCTTGCTTTTTGGAGTGGCATTGACATCCCACAAGCAAATCTGAGCATCGTCCGATCCACTTAACAAATGACCCTGCTTAAACTGACTCCATGATAAACCATACCCTTCAGTGGTATGACCCCGTAGTCTCAAATCAGGGTTGCATGCACCATCCAGTGGAGGCTTTGATGGATGCTTGCTATAATCGAAAACATAGACTTCGGCATTGACTGTCTTGGTGGCAATGATAAATGGGTTTTGAGGCATGTAACGGGCCCGGTTCACTTCTCCTTCGTGATTTATTTGCTGGGTTATTTGTACCTACATGAGTGATATACATAGTGTTTAAATAAAGAACGGTTATTTACCCAAAAAGTGATCGACGAAAAAACGCAATGACCCCCCCCCCCTCATCATCAAGTGATGTTTTTTAAGACGAGAAAAAGCACAACAAANTTCATAAAAACGGTTTACAAATAAAGGAAACTGAGATGAAAATGAACTGAAAGAAAGTTTGTATGCTAACCATCAAGAGCTGAGCATTCGCTATGTTTGTCACGAAATCGATGTTTTAAAATTTGGACCAGTTATTGAACAAAACGGCACAGGTTCAATGTAAAATGGTTAAACAGTAGGTGTACCCTTAAC